TTGCTAATTAAGACCACATTGCTGCTTGCTGGAGAGAATTTGCATTGATATCTAGCATTTCCCACGTGTGCGCATCTCTCAGCCTGTCTGAAACACCCAGCATTAACTTCCCCCTCTTCCCAAGAGCGTCGGCTTTGAGAAAAGGACCTCTTATTAGTGCTGTGTGAGGGGCAGTGCCTCTGTGGGCCTCCTTTTTTTTTTGGAAGAAATATTTCTGCAGCGTTGTTATTTATAGGTGTACCCAGTCAGAGTTTTGTGCCCCCGGCCCCCGTCTGAGAGCGGGGATTTCATGAGGCTGCAGGAAAGGTGAGTAGAAGATGCTGGCCTTGTTTCAAGACACTTAACTAATACGTTCCTGGGACTGCAGGTCCCCTGGGAGAGTATTAATGGCCACATATTGAGACAGGCTGAAATCCTCGCTTCCAACTGGTCCACAAGGACAGGAGACATTTTCCAGTGCACAGACTTAAAAAGGCTAAGGGTGAGCTTGCAATTTTCTTTCTGTACTTGCTGGCTGACATCTCCTTAATAGGTGATTTAGAAGAGCTTTGCGTCTGAAACTTCAGTTATGAGGAGCCTTTTCTTATAATGCCTGGCAGGTGAACCAGTGCAGGAGGAAAGGACTTGGGAAAAGGAAGAAAAGGAAGAAAGGAAAAAATGCTCTCACCTAAATGACTTACCAAGCTTAAAGACCATCCAGTTCCAACCCCTTGCCCTGGGCAGGGACACCTCCCACCAGACCATTACTCCTATCACTACATTCCCTGCTGAGGAGTCCCTCCCCAACTCTCCTGCAGGCCCCCTTCAGATACTAGAAGTTGGGAGGAAGGAAGGTGACCCCACCAGACTGAAGCAGCCGAGGAAACTACGCTTCTGGGACCAGCACGCAGCTGAGAGATGACTTCTTGCATGGTCCCATATTTTGGAGACTTCCCATGGAAACATGTCCTGCTCATGCTGGGCCACTATTTAGCCCTAAAAACATACTAAAAGCAACTCCTCATTCTTGGGTTTCTCATCATGACAGCACTGTTGCCCCTCTGCAGAACACAATTTACCCAGCAGCAACAAGCAGTGAGCTAAGGAGCTATTCAGGAAGGAGGTAAAGGAAGGCTTGGACTGCAGGCCAGAAATTCTTGTTAATAATTCTTGTTAAATAGGTATTAATATGCTTATTGATTGAAGAATTTTGAATTCAAAACCATTAGCGTCTGTCTGTGTTTGCAACTGAAGGGAAGTAAAAACAGATCATCTACCACCCTGCAGGCTTTGGTGTTTACAAACGCTGCTTTAGTTCATAAATAGAACAGACTGTCAAAAAAGTTGAGATTTTACTGCAAAATCCATCTTTTCCAAGCTCTCAGCCCAGCCCAGTGCTGGACAAACTCATCATCCAAGCTTTGTTGATCGAGGTTTACATACAGTAATGCCAAAACAACCCACAGCAAAGTAGACAGTACATATTTGGCTTTAAAAATGTTGAAGCCAAAACACTAATGCTGCGAATGGAAAGGCCCATTAAAATGAAAATAAATGTTAATATGTTTGTGTAAAGCCCAAATGGAATTTAACAGAGAAAGTTGTGAAGCAGCATTTTCTGTCACTGGAACAAATCATCAGGACTGAAACACACTGGCCTGACATTATCAGAACAAGCTGGGCAAGGTGAAAAGATTTGTCTTGACACTTGTTCGTGGGTGGATAATTTTGCTGAACCAATTTTCTGAGGGGAAACTGTTTTTGACTTTTTTTGTGAGGGTTCTACTTAATGAGCCAGCAAGAAAGACCAGTGAAGGGCACTAGAGCAAGCCCTGAGCTGATGAGCTTCCACTACTCTGCTGTCTCTGGCAGAAACACTGATATTATTGCTACTTCTTTCCATTTGATTATGGGCCTTGATGGTTTTCAGTTGGGGGGGGAGAGCGTCCTTAAATTTTCTGATTTTGGAGTTTTCACAGGCCGGGAGAGACCCAAGATGCTGCTGCAGACCAAGAAATCCATTACTTAAAACAAGTAAGTGACTCCTTTCTCAAAACATTGCACAAATCACAGCTTTTTCCACAGGAGGTGAATTTTCTTGCGATGGTATGTGTGCTTTCCCATCCTCCGGGCTGCTGCGTTCTCTAATTATTAATAGCTTTGCTAATTACAGCAATGGGCTGGGCTCCCCCCCCAAAAAAGTGGTTACTGGTCCTACAGCCCCAGGTCAGGGAAGGCAGTGATTTCCAAGGCACTGCCTGATGTGTAGCTCTGCACTAGGTGGTCATGGGAGCTGCTGCACCCAGAGAAAGGAAAGCTGGGATCAAACCTGACTTTTGTGACCAGGGAGGTGCCAGATCTATCTCCTTTTCCTTTTTCCAGGAGAGCAGTGGTCACGTCCTCTGGCTGGAGATGCCACAAGGTCACTGCCCTTGGAGGAGGCTGGCAAACGGGGAAAAAAGAGGCAGCCAGAGAGAAAAGAGAGATGAACATCTGGCTTTTAGTGGAAATTAAGAGATATAAAGGATACACAAGAAGAGAAGGGCAGAGAAAAAAACCCAGAGGTGAGCCCAGGCAAATGATGAAATGCACACTCTTCAAGCGTGCAAGGTAAATTCTTCAATTTGCTAGAAACCTTCAGGTTGATGAGTCTTTCAGCCTTGCTCGGTGCAGCCGTGGTGAGGAGGGAACCAGGCTGTTGTGACTGCTCTGCAATATGCAGGTGATGAACTGACCCTCTTCTGCAGGAAGGTGGACCATAAATCCTGGGTCTCAGAACTTTGCACCTACTTGGAACTGCTAATATGCTTGTTTCTAAAATCCTATGTGCTCCACCATGGGAGAAACCAGTCCATCTGAGGCTTTAAGCCTGAATAATGTGGCAGTGGCTTCTAGGCTTGGTCCGTATGTGCACAATGAGTTTACTCTTCCAGTGTTACAGAATCGCAGCATGATATGGGGTTGGAAGGGGCCTCTGGAGATCATCTAGTCCAACCCCCCTGCCAAAGCAGGTCCTCCTAGAACAGGGTGCACAGGAACGTCTCCAGGTGGGGTTTGAATGTCTCCAGAGAAGGAGACTCCACCACCTCCCTGGGCAGCCTCTGCCAGGGCTCTGCCACCCTCAGAGGAAAGAAGTTCCTCCTCATGTTGAGGTGGAACTTCTTATACCCAAGTTGGTGTCCACTTCCTCTTGTCCTGTCCCTGGGCACCACTGAAAAAAGACCGGCCCCATCCTGCTGACATCCTCCCTATCTATATGTGTTGATCAGTCTTCTCTTCTCCACACTAAAAAGATCCAGGTCCCTCAGCCTTTACAACAGCCTAACTCCTGCATCGCCCTGCTCACCCTGGAGAAGGTCAGAGCCACTGCCACCACTGCACTGATGGAGAAGAGTCAAGCAGTTCTGTGTCGTTCAGCCTCAGACTCCAACACTGGTAATTACGTGAGGAGTCTTGTGGCCACCAGGGCTGCCTGCTGAGCTTCAATGCTGCCCTGGGTTTCAGACAGTTTATGGGCAATAAGTACTAGCCAGAATGTAAATCCAGACCTTGTATGGTTTAGAGCTGGAGTAATTAATAAAGTGAGGCTGTAATTGGAGTGTTTCAGCAGACCTGAGGGTATACAAATCTCTGCTGGACCCATTCTCCAAAGCAAGCCCACAGAGCGTCTCTCAGGGGCCATTACAGCTTGGCATCCTGTTCGATAGGAAAGCAGGTGGGAACTGATCTCTCAAATCATGCCTCAGGAAATCTCCTGGCAGCTCCTCCAGAGATCTCCTCTCCCCACCGCTTCAGCTCGGCATTTACCAACAGATTTTCCCAGGCAGCCTCCCACCTGCTCAGCTCCCCTTTCCCTAAAGGGGAACTCGGCTCTTTCAGAAAAATCTGCTATGAAAGGAGCTGAATAAAAGCACCCCGACACCCATGGGAAGGTCCTTACCGGTCCCAGAGAGCTTTGGCCCACGCTGATTCATTTCTCTTCTCTACTCCCAGCACACCAACGTGGTTCTAGAGATCAAGAAGAAACAAGGTCATGCACTTCACCACCGCTGTAGCACAAAGACCAGGCATGCAGCCCAAAGAATAATTGAAGTCACGCTCTTAGTTCTTAACTTACTTTAATTGAAGATATCAAGGAAGAATAAATTTCATTATCGGACTCAGCAGGAAAAGCTAAGTTGGGGGGAGGTGGTTCTTTATTCCTTCACACGGCTATATATGACACACAATGTCTGGCAGAAAATAAAGTGTTTTAACTTGGAGGGAAATATTAATTTTAGCTGAAAAGAAACAGTGTCTAATATGCCCACCATGACATATTTTTTTTCCAGCAATATGCCTTAGAATCTCAAGGTAAATATTCTAATTGTTAACTTTGAAGTAATTGCATTATTATGATTTCTGAGGAGGAGCATGCTTTCAACCACACACACAAAATGATATCACCACATTACAGAGGGAAACCCACCAGTCTCCGTAATGCATTTGCATTACATTGCATCTGTTGTAATTGATGGGATGGTGCTGGACCAACTAAAATCTGCTAAAGAGCTCACCATCGAACCCAGAGTTGGCCAAGCCTGTTCTTGTAGCATTTTGGATCATTAAACAACTTGATCTTTTTGAGCTAATGTACTCCAACACATGGCAAGGACACTGAGCTCAGAAAAGATAAATTCCTGAGAACACAGAACTGAAAGAACAGTCCTACTCTGGGTGCAACACAGGGCTGTGGATCAACATAAGGACGGTCTACTGCCAAAGACCTAGACCACAACTTGTGTCCCTGCATTGGTCATGAGTCCCTTTAGCAGTCTATTGCTGCCTCTTGAGTAGGGAAACCAGAGAAAGAAATTGCTTTGAGAGGAGGGCAATAAAAAAAACCACCCATGAAACCAGCTTTCCCATCACAGCCTAGAATCTCTTGGGCTGGTTTCCTCTGGAGCTATGACAGAACACACAGATGCTCTGGGAGGACTGCAAGGAAGAGGCTGTGCATAGGGTGGCTGGTTCTGCCAGGTGCTCCCTGCATCAGTGGTTGTTCCCAGCCCACTACAGAGAGCACCAAGAAGTCCGGTCCTCGCCTTTAACTTTTCTAATTCTCTAATATTTTCAGTCTTCACCATTGCCAGTGGCCAGGAGCTTCTTGGTGCAACCACATGCTGTATCGGAAGAAAGCAGAAACGGGGTTTCTTGACGCCCCTCCTTCTCTCATCCCCTTATGCAAAGAGTATTTTTTAAAGCTGACAGACCTGTTATGTGCTGAGCTCTTACTGAAAGCCAGAATCCCTGTTCTCCTCCTGTTGTCCTGATGCACCAGTGGCACCACTGCACTTCAAGTTTAGCTTCCAACACCAACATGGGAGAAATGAATTGCCTTCTTCCCGCTTTTGCCTTCTTTCTCATTTTGTTACTTCTTCACTTGTCCTTTCCACACATACAGGACTTGCAGGCTCTACCTAGACCTCTAGTTTGTTACTTCTTCACTTGTCCTTTCCACACGTACAGGACTTGCAGGCTCTACCTAGACTGCCAGCAGGCTCCACATGTTAGCCAGGTGTCTGGTTAGAGGTCTCAGAGCTGAAATGTTAAGGCAATTTTTATTCATTAGGCCTCTCCAAAAGAGAAGGTAATCTGGGGGCAGATTGAAGCTGTGGACAATTCATTAGAGGCACATCTTAAAGGAAAGTGTGCCAGACACAAGAATCTGATATGCTTCTGAATGCCTGGAATCGATGCAATGTTACTGTGGAAAAAAACATCGTTCACAGTTGGGCGTTTTGGAAAATTTACGTTTCACTGGGGCAAATTGCCAGCTGGTCTGGGTCATGGTGGATCTGAGGCTCCCACAGAAGGGTTGGCATGGATGTCTTAGGAACTGAAAATCAAAGCCTCGTTTCCACGAAAGCATGCCGTGAAATTTAGAATAAGTCTTCTAATTGAAAATTAATTGGTGTCATACTGAGAAATGCAAAACAAGACAGTGTTAATTCAGACAGTTTCCTTTCTGGAAAATCAAGGACAAATTAAGGTTCTTGCTAGTGCTATGCAGTGAGATGTGTTTGCATCCGACTGGGAAAAGACTGTCCACTCTGAGCTGTGTATGCATCTTCCTCTTCAAGGGCATTTTACCACTTCTTTCAACGAGAAACACAGGGCTCCACAAAAACTGAGGCCTCTGAGGCATCCTAACCTCTCTTGAACATCACAGCACCTGTCTAATTCATGAAAGGGATAATGCATGTCCATCACAGAGCACTCATGCCTTCTGGCAGACCACACCGAAGTCCTCATCTCCAGGTGGTGAGGAAATCTGGCACTCTGAAACACACTCAGCTCCGACACCATCCCGTCAGAAATGTGACCTGGAAGACAACAATAAATATGTCACTACAGGTTGATAGAGGTACCTCTATCAGGAATTCCACATGCTTTGGTAGAGTCAAACTCCTCTTTGAGGTCAACTGGTTAGGCTGCGAGAAAGTGAAGGAAGTGCTTATGAAAATGAGAAGTTTCTGCTGATTTTTATGTTTTTCTCCTCCTAGACCCAAAAACCAGAGAGTAATCAGCCTCTATTCTCTTGATTACCATGTTTTACCTACTGAAAAAAACAATGCAAGTCTCTGCTCAGTCTCTTCCTTCCTGGGATACTCAGTTCTGTCCATACATGCTGCATATTACAGGTGTCCCCTCTTTCTTGGTCTTCTCCCCTGGCTTCTTTCCAGTGCCTCTGCATAGTTCTTGAAGCACAGCTTCAAAATTGGGTGCGAAACTTGAGTCAAGACCTTGACAGCCCCAAGGTGACTGGAGCAAAATCAAGGTCTTTCAAGATGTATATCCTATTCGTACCTCTCCGAATCAGCTCTCTCTTTTTGCTGGAGCATCTCCCACCCTGTGGTTCATCCCATGCGTTCCCACAGCCAACGTCTCATGGCTGCTTCTCAGTGTCATACCCGTATCCTCATTTTTAGGCTGCTGAATTCTCCTTTCCTGCGCATCGTACCCAGTGCCACCTGAGGCACTGCAAACTATTTTCCTGACTCACCCAGGCCAACCTGGCCAAATTCTGTCCACTCAGTGTTACACCCAGCATCTCAAACTTCATCTGGGCCATGTGAGTTAATAATTTCTGTATTTAATAAACCTATTAATTGGAATCAACCATTGCTAGTGCTTCCTGGTGACTATGTATTAACTTGCTTTGCTGGTGGCAGCATCAGAAGACCTCACTCATGTCAGCTGATACCCTTCCTGAGAAGCACCACTTTGCCCTTCCAGTACAAGCAGGTTACCCAGGCAAAGAAATGCCATCTCTTTGCTCTAGCATGACTTGTTCTTGACGAATGTGAGTTGACTGCTTTTACCCCTCCTTAATGAAGAATAAGGACTTGCAGAAGAAACGAGTGGATGACAATGTCATTTTCTTGGGCATTGTAGCTTGGCTGATGTGTTTACGAGTCCCTACCTCCTTCCTTTGGAAACAAGCACCATCTCGAGCACTGTGGGCCTGCAGCCATGCCCCAGGATGTCTCAGAGATAACAAGTTCAGAAAGGAACCCTGGGATAATTTTTTTATTGCAGCCTTGTTTCGAAAACAAACTTCCTTTGCAATTAATGCATTCAGAAGCAGCCTGTTTTGATGAAATAGAATTCTGTGGCAAAAATATGTTCTGTCACACACTTTTTAATCAGCTCTATCCCTATCTCATTTGAGGAACGTTTTCTGTATTGTTCTGTAAAACTTAAGCATGGAAGCTTGCTCTATTTCCTTCACTCAGGATGTCTTACGTTTATGTGCTGTTTTCTCACTTTCAACAAGTTTTGTCTCCATGAATCTAAAAATACTTAACACAGGGATCTGAATTGATCTGGCTTGGGACTTCGCTTGGGTGATTTCATCATTGTCTTTGCTGAGAGCAGAGTTAAACTGGAGAACATTTGAACCCGTCACAAATCAAGTGAATCAAGAGCCTTTTGATACTTGGTGATAAAATCTGAATGCCTGATCAGTCGCAGAAAGCCTGGGCTGTCCTGCCTCATCCCAAGGTCTTGGTATGAGATGATTAATTTAAAAAGTTCATTAAATGACACCCTTTAGGTCAAATGCTCAGCTTGTGTTAATTCACACGTCTTGCTGGTGTTTATCATCTAAACTCTCTTGCCTGGTGATCTCTGGGTGACTGATCAATCAAGCGAAGTGTTTTCCTGCCCGCAGAGCAGGGCTGCGTTGGTCCCTGGCACTTTTTACATCACAAAGTCACTTGGCTGTTGTGGGGAGTGGACAGGCAATGACCTCCTGTCAACTACAGGTTTCCTTTGCGTCTAGAGCGAGAGAAAGGGAGAGGCAAAGAAAGACCTGGAGGTGATGGGAAGAGGGGAGATGGCATGCCATGACCAAAGCAATTCATCTTCTCCTCAGCCTGCAGATTGGCTCGAGTCAGCAAACTCTCAGGAAAGCTAATGGCTAGAAGGAGACCAAAGACCAGACGAACTGTTTTAGTGCACAAAGATGTAGAATAAGCACAAGGATAAAAAGTCGGTCTATAGCTGGAAGAAGAACCCAAAGAGTGATAGAGGAGGTAGCAGAGGAGGACTTGGCTTCCCAGCAGGTCTCCATGGGTTGCTCATTGATTGAATATGCTCAGAAGGGACCATGGTTGCGTCCTCAGACTTAAGGCATCTCCTGCTATCAGAGATCCCCCCAGATCATCCTTGCTTGCCAGGCAACCTCCTCCTCCTCCCAGCAGCATTTCCAGTGCCTCTGCATAGTTCTTGAAGCACAGCTTCAAAATTGGGTGCGAAACTTGAGTCAAGACCTTGACAGCCCCAAGGTGACTGGAGCAAAATCAAGGTCTTTCAAGATGTATATCCTATTCGTACCTCTCCGAATCAGCTCTCTCTTTTTGCTGGAGCATCTCCCACCCTGTGGTTCATCCCATGCATTCCCACAGCCAACATCTCATCACTGCTTCTCAGTGTCATACCCGTATCCTCATTTTTAGGCTGCTGAATTCTCCTTTCCTGCGCATCGTACCCAGTTCTTTCTTGGTCTTCTCCCCTGGCTTCTTTCCAGTGCCTCTGCATAGTTCTTGAAGCACAGCTTCAAAATTGGGTGCGAAACTTGAGTCAAGACCTTGACAGCCCCAAGGTGACTGGAGCAAAATCAAGGTCTTTCAAGATGTATATCCTATTCGTACCTCTCCGAATCAGCTCTCTCTTTTTGCTGGAGCATCTCCCACCCTGTGGTTCATCCCATGCATTCCCACAGCCAACATCTCATCACTGCTTCTCAGTGTCATACCCGTATCCTCATTTTTAGGCTGCTGAATTCTCCTTTCCTGCGCCACCTGAGGCACTGCAAACTATTTTCCTGACTCACCCAGGCCAACCTGGCCAAATTCTGTCCACTCAGTGTTACCCCCGGCATCTCAAACTTCATCTGGGCCATGTGAGTTAATAATTTCTGTATTTAATAAACCTATTAATTGGAATCAACCATTGCTAGTGCTTCCTGGTGACTATGTCACCTCACTCATGTCAGCTGATACCCTCCCTGAGAAGCACTACTTTGCCCTTCCAGTACAAGCAGGTTACCCAGGCAAAGAAATGCCATCTCTTTGCTCTAGCATGACTTGTTCTTGACGAATGTGAGTTGACTGCTTTTACCCCTCCTTAATGAAGAATAAGGACTTGCAGAAGAAACGAGTGGATGACAATGTCATTTTCTTGGGCATTGTAGCTTGGCTGATGTGTTTACGAGTCCCTACCTCCTTCCTTTGGAAACAAGCACCATCTCGAGCACTGTGGGCCTGCAGCCATGCCCCAGGATGTCTCAGAGATAACAAGTTCAGAAAGGAACCCTGGGATAATTTTTTTATTGCAGCCTTGTTTCGAAAACAAACTTCCTTTGCAATTAATGCATTCAGAAGCAGCCTGTTTTGATGAAATAGAATTCTGTGGCAAAAATATGTTCTGTCACACACTTTTTAATCAGCTCTATCCCTATCTCATTTGAGGAACATTTTCTGTATTGTTCTGTAAAACTTAAGCATGGAAGCTTGCTCTATTTCCTTCACTCAGGATGTCTTACGTTTATGTGCTGTTTTCTCACTTTCAACAAGTTTTGTCTCCATGAATCTAAAAATACTTAACACAGGGATCTGAATTGATCTGGCTTGGGACTTCGCTTGGGTGATTTCATCATTGTCTTTGCTGAGAGCAGAGTTAAACTGGAGAACATTTGAACCCGTCACAAATCAAGTGAATCAAGAGCCTTTTGATACTTGGTGATAAAATCTGAATGCCTGATCAGTCGCAGAAAGCCTGGGCTGTCCTGCCTCATCCCAAGGTCTTGGTATGAGATGATTAATTTAAAAAGTTCATTAAATGACACCCTTTAGGTCAAATGCTCAGCTTGTGTTAATTCACACGTCTTGCTGGTGTTTATCATCTAAACTCTCTTGCCTGGTGATCTCTGGGTGACTGATCAATCAAGCGAAGTATTTTCCTGCCCGCAGAGCAGGGCTGCGTTGGTCCCTGGCACTTTTTACATCACAAAGTCACTTGGCTGTTGTGGGGAGTGGACAGGCAATGACCTCCTGTCAACTACAGGTTTCCTTTGCGTATAGAGCGAGAGAAAGGGAGAGGCAAAGAAAGACCTGGAGGTGATGGGAAGAGGGGAGATGGCATGCCATGACCAAAGCAATTCATCTTCTCCTCAGCCTGCAGATTGGCTCGAGTCAGCAAACTCTCAGGAAAGCTAATGGCTAGAAGGAGACCAAAGACCAGACGAACTGTTTTAGTGCACAAAGATGTAGAATAAGCACAAGGATAAAAAGTCAGTCTATAGCTGGAAGAAGAACCCAAAGAGTGATAGAGGAGGTAGCAGAGGAGGACTTGGCTTCCCAGCAGGTCTCCATGGGTTGCTCATTGATTGAATATGCTCAGAAGGGACCATGGTTGCGTCCTCAGACTTAAGGCATCTCCTGCTATCAGAGATCCCCCCAGATCATCCTTGCTTGCCAGGCAACCTCCTCCTCCTCCCAGCAGCTGAGCTAGCACAGCAGAGAGATGCTCAGCAGGCTGCAAGTCACAAGCAAGGTGAGCACCAGGGCTGCCTCTGCCAAGCAAAGGAGAGCAAATCAGTGTCAGCAAACGCTCTCACAGCACAGGAAAAAAAAAAACAAAAAACAAACCCACCTTATTTGTGTAAAAGGCAACTTGCTTTGGCACCTAAGAAATTGAGTTTAGAATCTGGGCATTGAAACGCTGATGGGGAGCTAGAAGCATGGAAGTTAATCCCCAGCAGAGGATGTACCATGGCCTCAAATCCAGTGCCACCTCCCTGAGGAAGGACTGAATTGCTGGGATGGTTCACGGGGCTCGGCTGGCCACCTTGGGAACAAGAAACATGTGAAAGCCCATCTGCCTTGGCAAGCAGCTTTGCATTCCTTCTTTCCTTTGGGCTCCTTCTAGCCAAAGGATGGCTCCACACTGTATGCCCTTTGTCCCAAGCCTAAATCACAGATACAAACTAATTTTACTTAAAAGCAAACCACTCCATCTTCTTCCCATCCTTCTGCTCCAGTTCTCAGCAGAGGAAGCCTTGGCACAGTTTTCCAGTGCACCCATCCCTCTCTACCAGCCTGTTCTCCTGTCACCCAGTGTCTCCCATCATTTGACCCATTGCAAAGACCATCTTCATTAGTGTCATTTCACAGAAGGAGCACAGCTCCTAGCTGGGGGACTACACTGCCAGCGTGGAAGACAGCCTGTGCCACACTGTGCCCCTTCTCTGCTCAGCTTTCCAGGACAAGCTCCCTGGTAACATCTTTTCAGACACAGTTTTCAGGTGAAGGGACAATTAGATACATGTAAGGTGAACTGCTGCATGGGCAGTTCATAGGCTGTTTCCTCATTCTGCAGATTTCGCCCATGTAGAATTTTTTTTCTCAATGTCTATCTACTCAGCAGATTGGTCTACTAAAAAAAAATATTTTTCTCAGGAGATCAGGCTTAACAGGATACCAGGACCCTGACCACCATTTGGTTATATGGGAAAATACTGGATGCCAAGATATTAACTTTCTACAACTCTCTGTTTTCCTCCTGCACAGAGTTCTGAAAAATAGAAAGTATTCCACATATTGAAATAAAATATTTAAATTTCCATTCCTTATTTAAGATTATTTGCTGGTCCAACCTTTTGCCACTCTTTTTCTTTTTTTTCCTCCTGTCTTTTATCTGCTTCCCTTCACCTTACTGCTAACTCTGACTTAAGTACAATTTATGATTCAAGTCAAGAGCCTGATTGCATTTAGTTTGCTGGTGACAGAATCAATTCATTCTGGGCAGGAAGAATGATGCATTGCTTGTCAGTCCCGTATTGGTCCATGGATTATCGAGAAGCCTAGTGAGTGTCTTTGTATGTTTTGGAGTCATGGGTTTTCTGCTTAAATAGCTTCATAATTACTGAAATCCAACATTGCTTTCCTCATTGGAGGTTATAGGAATTCTCACATAATGGAACAGAGTGAATATATCCTGGCCTTTGAAAGTACATGGACCACAAGAGGACACATGTATGACTGCTCAGGAATAAAAAATAAAAGGAATAATACTGCAGTACAGCAAAGGAGGAGGCTGTGCGGTGGGCTGGTGCTTAAAAGGAGGCCTGGATGGTCATCCCCAACTTCTCATGACTGCTTGGCAGACATAGGCATCCTGAAGAGCACCACGCTCCAAAACCATGTCGCAGGGAGAACCTTAGCTAGGAGAAAGGCTGGCGGTGGTGGAAACCACTATATCCCCTCCATGGTTTCTGCCTTACTCACGGCTTCTCTCCCACCACAGGAGGTGGCCACCCCCTAACGGGGTTGGGTCTGGTCCTCCTCCAGGATAACTGTGGTGGAAAAGGACTTGGGCAGAGGCCAAGCTGGTCACCCAGCAGGATCGTCCTCAATTAGACAATGAGCTTTTGATATGACCCAAATAACAGCTATAGCAGAGAGTGGGGAGGACTCACAGCAGGAGAAGAGGTGGCTTTGAGGAAGGTTTTAGAAATAATATTGGTTGGAGCTTTTCCAATACAACTGTTTTCCTCCAGAACAAAGCATTTCCCTTTCATTTTCTCTAAAGTATGTAAGTTTTGATAAAATTACAGACTAGAACAAGGAAAGTACTGGAAGAAACTCATGGTTGATTTTCTCTTGATAATACCAAATCATCTCATCCTGCAGTAAATAAATTCCTCTTTCAACTTAACAATTTCAATTAATTTCACTTGAACTTTTAGGATAATATCAAATATTAATTTTAATAATACGTTTCAGCGATGTTTTTAATATTTGCTGGTATAATGCGTTATTATTCTAGAAGAAAAGTGTGTGTACCTTATGGAAATGGAGCATTAAGGCGCTGTTGAAACAAATGATTTGATGTAGTCGAGACCATCCAATTTGGTTATTCTCATTATGCATTTCTGAGGAGAGAGAAGGAAGAGCATTTTATGTTTAAACTTGATTTAGAACAAAAATGCCTTCTGAAATGTTGGGATTTTATAGCTGGAAAAAACTGCTGATATCTAGCAGGTATTTCTGCCAAGAAGCAAAGAAACCAAAAAAACCTAGATGTGAAATGAAAAAGAATAGGGACGTGGCCAGTTACTGATTGTCCTGTCTGGGGCTGCAGATGTTACCTTGCCAGCCAGAGCTACTGCAGGGAAGACTCTGAGAAAATCAGTGTGTTCTTCTCTACAAACTGAAAGTCTCAGCTTCATCTCTCAAACTTGTATCGCCATTGGTTCATTTCTCTCTCTGCTGACATCATTGCTTGAGTTCCTCTTGTTGCCCTAAGAGAGAGGGAGTGGGAGAGACTCATAGAACCATAGAATGGTTAGACTTGGAAGGGACCTTAAAGATCATCTAGTTCCATCCCTTCTACCATGGGCAGGGAAACCTCCCACCAGACCTCAAAGCCCCATCCAGCCTGTTCTTGAAAACCTCCAGAGATGGAGTATCCACAACTTCCAACTTCCCTGGGCAACCTGTTCTAGTGTCTCACCACCCTCAAAGGAAAGAATTTCATCTTACTTTCTAATCTAAATCTCCCCTCTTTCATTTTAAAACACCTCATCCTATCACTCCACTCTCTGATAAAGAGTCCCTCCCCACCTCTCCTGTAGGCCCCCTTTAGTTACTGGAAAGTTATTATAAGGTCTCCCTGGAGCCTTGTCTTCTTCACAGGGAACAACCCCAACTCTCTCAGTGTGTCTTCGTAGAAGAGGTGTTCCAGCCCTCTGGTCATTCTTGTGCTCCTCCACTGGACCTGTTCCAGTGGGTCCATGTCCTTCCTGTGCTGTCTCCTCTCCTTCCTTCTTGCTAGAAGTATCTCCAACCTTTCACATGTTGTTGAGAGGGTCAGGGTACAGGATGGCCTTGTTCAGCCCATCCTTTTGTCTAAATATGCAACCAAATCAAATGGGCACATAGGACTGAAACAACAGGCTAGAACAGAGCAGACCTGAGGCTACGTTCATGGAGAGCTGTAAATACATAACCACAGGATGTGAATCTAAGGTTAGTCTTGACTAGTTCCATCCCAGGGAAAGTTAATTCCTGTGTTGTCTATCTTTCCAGCACAGCTCACCTACCTTCCCAGTAAAGACACAGCCTAGGGCTGAAGGAAATCTAACTTGAAAGTGCCCTGAAGAGCAGCGCTGGATGCGGTTGACATATGGATGAGGAGGGCTGGATGACCTTCACTCCCTAGTTGATTCACTCCTGAGCTAAACACATCTAAGGCTTTGGCTGTATCTATTCATCAAACTAATGGTGTGATGGTAGTTGAGCTTATTGGATTAGATCAGCACTGAGGCATGGGCTTACACTAACAAGCAGCAAGTTCCCCAAAGTCCCTGGAGTATGTTGATGTCTGTTGGCTGCTCCTCCAAAAGCAGTGGTCACCGTCTCCGAAGATGCATTGGAAAGTGTCCTGAGCAGACCCCTGTGGAATGATTTGGCAGCATTTCACACCGGGCTGCTCAAGTCCACTCTTTTCCATGGAAAACATGGATAAGTGATGCGTGGCACCCCGTCACTTTGGGGATCTTGCAATGACAATTAGTCAAACTGTCCTGGAGGGGGCTAATCGGATGGCCTGGGAGATAGGAACGCACGGTCAGACGTGTCTTGGTCTCAACACTGCAAAGAGCTCCTTGGCTCCAGAGCTGTTTTATGTAAAGTGTGTCTAGGGCAGGCCACAAAGACCAAAATACCAGAGCTACAATTTCCACTGCTCTTTGTTCTTGGTGACAACACTCCTGCTTAGAGAACCGGGCGAGCAATGCTACCTCTCCTTTAGAAGTGCATCTGTCAGTTCATTGAAACAGGAGTTTATTTGATGCCACTACATACTAAGACACCTTCTTCACGTCAATTAAAGCTTTGCTTTTGGCTAGGCATGTGCTTGAATGCCACCCTTCTGCTAAGAGAGGTCCGGGCTGAGGCACTCCCACTCTCTATTCCCTGCAATAATTTGCCTCCCCAAGAAATCCCCCGATCTTCCTCTTTCTTATTCGTTATTAGTGACATCTAGTGACCAGCAGGAGTCATGCAGCAAATAAACGAAACCATAATTAATAAGGTAGGCTGAACTTACATGACAAGAAAACACTCGGTCTATTAATTTAGCAAGTATAGTCTGAGTGCTGCCAGCAGAGAAATCAGCCAGTCAGGATGGTTTGAAATGATCCTTCTAACTCTTCAGCCTTTTGCAGGAGGCCAAGGGCTGCCCTAGCTCCTGCAGGAGGTCCTATGAAGAAGGCCCTTGGCTAAGACTTACCAGAATGTTTTATGATCCAGATCTTGGGGCTCGCATCTTTGATGTGCTTTAAAACCTCTGATTTTCAGGTACGGGATTTTCAGCTGGTAAATCGGGTCCTTCAGGACATCTCAGTTGGGTGTCTGAAAAACTAGGCAATTTGTAACACCTCTTTTTAACCTGCTTTCCTGAGAAAATAAGAGTATTTAGTATTTTCATGTGTTGCCCCCCTTTATCTCGGTCTCTACTCCCTAGCAGCTTGCACCCCAGGTGACACAGCAGTAGGTGTCCCTGAGGTCATTACGCTCCTACCATGCTTCATGCAAGTAATTAACAGGTAATTAACAATAGAATGAGAGGGAACGGCTTCAAGCTCCAACAGGGGAGGTTTAGATTGAACATTAGGAGGGAATTCTTCACAGAGAGAGTGATAGGGCATTGGAACAGGCTGCCCAGGGAGGGGGTTGAGTCACCATCCCTGGATGTGTTTAAGGGACGTTTAGATGGGGTACTGAGGGATATGGTGTAGGGGAGGACTTTGTAGAGTAGGGTAGATGGTTGGACTCGATGATCCCAAGGGTCTCTTCCAACCTCTATGATTCTATGATTCTATGATTCTAAGTAGGAAACCAGGCAGAGCCAAGTGCCTGGAGGTGGCTCTACAGGGAAAGAGGCTGCAGCAGCATTGAAATTCTTAACTAGATGCTAAAAAGCCCGTTTAGGAAAGGAGGCAAGTGGGAGAGAGACTTCATAAATAGGCCAGCCATAGCGAAAAACATCACTTGAAGTTCATGTCTTCTAGTACGCCAAAGTCCATCTGTCTTGAGATGCAAATCTAGGGGAAATGGGCTTGGCTTGGCCCCTTGCTCGCTACTGCAAGAATAATCTGTAAAAATAACTAGAGAAAGAGGCTGTTAATCCCAGATTTTTTCCAAAATTGCCTCTCTTTCCGAAGTACTGCTGCACTGGGTGAAGAACAGTGGCAGGCTGCAGGGCACCCGAGGTGTGAGACTCAACAGAGAGGTGAATGCACCCCAGGTCCCGATTTGCCTTGCCTCTCAGGGAGCTGGGGAAAGAGGAGGCTGCAAAGCAATCCAGCTGAGGAATCCAGCTCCCCAGCAGAATTTCAGAAAGTTCTCTTAGCAACCAAGCCCACAGGCTGATGGAGATCTTGTCTCAGATTAAAAACTCTTTAAAGGAGCTGAATCAGCACTGGTTTTTGACCTTGGTGAGGATCAGCCTGCTGTGTAGGACACGGACCCTACTCTGCTCCTGGCACTGCCACAGTGCATGGTGTGGCTAACAGAAATGGAGAGACACACAATTCTCCTGCCAGAACATGCTGCTGGTGCACCTCTCCTGCTCTGGGAATCCGAGAGTGACATGTCACAGTGGAGGTGGCCGACCCACCACGTGTGACCTTAGGAAGGTTATCCTCCCTGTCTACTCTGCCCTGGTGAAGCACCTGCTGGAGCACTGGGACCAGTTCTGGGCTCCCCCAGTTCAAGAAGGACAAGAAACTGCTGGAAAGGGTGCAGCAGAGGGCTACAAAGACGATGAGGGGTTTGGAGCATCTCCCTTACGAGGAGAGGCTGAGGGACTTGGGTGTTTTAAGAGAAGAGAAGGCTGAGGGGGGATCTGATCAATGCTTATAAATAAAGTGGAGGGTGTCAGGAGGATGGGGCCCGTCTTTTTTCAGTGGTGCCCAGGGACAGGACAAGAGGAAGTGGACACAAACTTGGGTATAAGAAGTTCCACCTCAACATGAGGAGGAACTTCTTTCCTTTGAGTGTGGCAGAGCCCTGGAAGAGGCTGCCCAGGGAGGTGGTGGAGTCTCCTTCTCTGGAGACATTCAAACCCCACCTGGACACGTTCCTGTGCAACCTGCTCTGGGTGGACCTGATCTCCAGAGGTCCCTTCCAGCCCCATATCACACTGTGATCCTGTGGCCTGGGGAATTTGCAGTGCCGAACATCCTGAAGAAGGGGAGGCAGAGCAGCCTGGGGCCAGTAGCAAGATGCACACTTCTCTCCGTGTCCCTGCAGTACTGCTCGCTCCACGCTGTTCCCCAGGCTGCTGGAGGGGAGCATAAGGACTATGGACTCTGCAAGGCCAGGCAGATTGAGCATGCTCCAGCCCGTGTTCCTGTTGGGTGAGTGTCTCAGCATCATTCCCTCTGACAGAGGCTGCAAAAGATATGACTGGTAGCAGACTGAATACAAAAAGTTTTGCAGCCCTGAGGAACCCAGTGCCAAAAGGGCCGTACCATTACGCTATTAGTCAGAGCAGATGCTTGTGACGGTGGCAGTGACCTGAAACTGCTAATCTTGTTACTCAGGGACAGCCTTCAGCCACGGGGCTGGCAAGTGTGGAATAAATAAACCAGGCTCTTCTTTCCTTCCCTGAGATGCCTGCCACCACGTTTCGCTCTTACTTAAGGCAAAGAGAGCAGGGAAACGGTGGTGACAGCTTACAAGCGGTGCCCTTCACAGTTAACCCGCTGGTGGAAACAGCTGCTGAGAGGAGTTTCAGAGAGAGGTGGCTCAATCCAGGGCTTGTAGCTGAAAGGCTGCAGCCTCCTGCCAGCTCTGGTTTTATCTCCTCTGCCTCTTTGCAAAGTTTCACTCTGCCTGTAGACAACCGAGGACCTCGGCACCCCAGATGGCAACTTGCTTGTCCAGCCTCACGTGGACTTGGCCAACAAGAGCGATGTTGGCTGTCTCTCACGGAGCATGGGCTGCTCCACAGCTCCTGCACGACTATCTCGTTCAGAGAGTTTGCGCCCAGGTAGCAGGTTTTGGTGCTGAAGAGAATGAGGTTGCTGTTGAGATCAGAGACAAATGTAGTTCTCTCCATCTTCCCTAACTATAAGGTCGTTTCCAACCTAGACAATTCTACGATTCTGTAAGTTAGCTGTACTTGTGATGATGAAGGAAATAGGAATGCCGTTCCTGGCCAATCCCCAGCACACTGACTCATGGAACTTCATCGAGTCCAACCATGAAAAGCAAATCCAAAAAGAACAACAAAAAAACCCTAACAAGCAGACAGAACCCAACAATCTTGGGCACTAGAGCACGCCCTGAAGTGCCACGTCTACACATTTCTCAAACACCTCCAGAGATGGTGACTCCACCATCTCCCTGGGCAGGCTGTTCCAGTGCCTGACCACTCTCTCAGGAAAGTCATTCTTCTTAATATCTCATCTAAACCTCCCCTGCCCCAACTTCAGACCATTTCCTCTGCTCCTGGCATTATTCCCTTGGGAGAAGAGGCCAACCCCCACCTCTCTACATCCTCCTTTCAGGGAGTTGTAGAGGGCAATGAGGTCTCCCCTCAGCCTCCTCTTCTCCAAACCAAACATGCCCAGTTCCCTCAGCCTCTCCTTGTATGACTTGTTCTCCAGACACCTCACCAGCTTGGTGGCTCTCGTCTGGACCCATGCTCTAAGTGTGTGGACCTGGAAAGCTTCAGCAGGACCTGCAGCACATACCTGAGGCAGCAGAAGTAGAGGAGCAGTTGTTCAGCTGCATCCACTTCTTCGGACAGAGAAGGTAGCCTTGGAGCACCTTGGGAAATTCTCCACAGACCTGTCCTGGTGTCGTGGATGCCTTCATCAATAATCGCCTCCTAATCCCTCCCAGGTCATTCTGACGATGCCGTTTCCTTGCCTTCCTCTCTGAAAAACACAGCCCCACACTTTAAAATACTAATATAACCAGGCAAGAATTTAAAGCTACCATTGCAACCTTGTCAAAAGACAGAGTGTTAATAATTACTTTAATTATTTTCATTGCTTTACTGCTAGGATCTCATTAACATGGCTAAAAAAATCAACCAGGCCAAAAAGCTTCTCATATCTTACTGTATATCAAGAACATAGCATATAACATAAGAGGGAAGATTTTTGCCCTGGTTTCTCAAGGAAATACTTGTGTATCTGTCAGCAGCCACTGTCCTGTCACTTGTCCTCCCTAAAAGCTTTCCCAGTGTCATGCCCCAAGTTGGCTTTATATGAAAGACACAAAAATGTTTAATTCAAATACCATGAACGTAGGCAGGCGGGTAAAGGGGAGAAAACACAGTGCTGAAAGGATCAGCTCAACCTTTTTGAGGCACCAGTGTCCCCATTGGAGAGAGCACTTTTGAATAAAACAAGCTTTCCTGATTTTGCTGTTCCTTCACTGTAATTACCCCAGGTAATTAACCAGCTGGCTGATTCTACCAGTGCTTCGGATGAAGGCTGATATTGGCTGCTTCAGGGGAAAAACAACTCATAAGTACCAAGTAGAATTAAGAAAAAAAGCAGAAATTGCATATATTTCAGATATACAAAATTCACAGACCACATCCTGGCCCTGTGAGCTCTTCAGCTGCTGATCCACCCTGACACCATATTCTCAATCTGTTCACGGCTTTCCAGGACACGGGCCCTTCTGATGGCGAGACATAAGTTCATTTCCCCTGAAGGAATAACATTTCTGTGCACTACAAATATATTTTCTTTGTGTCATCCAGGTCTGCTGCAGATCCGTTCCCTGCATTTTTTATTCTTTGCCATCGTGTCAACAGCAACAACATGGCAAAAACTGTCAGCAGTGATTTCACTTCTACTTCAAAAAAAAAGTTTTGAAGCTTTTACTTCTAAAGCTTTAGTGAGAATATAGAAGTGCCTTAAGCATCAGACTGGCATCCTCTAAGTTCCTAATTGATGACCATCCAACACCATGTCCTTCTAAGATGTGCCGGTTCATCAGCTTACAATGCACTTAGTTGACATCTGTTTCCTTCCTTCTGCTTCACTCAGAAGGCCATATGTGGAAGAAACAGCATTTCTATGAGAAGACCTATATTGAGGTCAATGCTGTGTCCTCTTACTTCTGTGTTGCTTGATGATGATTACAGCTGGGTGGTTCGGTATTGCATGGGTCACCCACAGCGTCACCGAGATCTGTTCTAAATTCCCTGATCTGAGTGAATCCCCTCTCCTGACATTTTTTCTCTTCCTGAGAGTCCTCCTCAACATAGAAAGTCTCAGCAAGTCCTCACAGCCGCAGGAAAGGCTCAGGACAGGTTCATAAACAGCCCTCCCTTCCCCTGGAAGAAAGGAGGGATGAGTGGGTGAGGAGACCTCCATGTTCCAAAGGAAACTTTCTGCTGTCTCATTTTGGCCCTTTCTGTCCTGTTTTCTTCTCCTTCCGCTTTTGGGCTCTGTCCAGCCCGATTGGCCCTTCCCATGATTGTGCTTGCTCTCATCATGGCACAGGGTTATAATGTTCCTGGGTTTCTTCTGCTTCATAAGTAGTCCAAAAGCTCCTTCTGAGGTCCTCTTTCAGATGGGACCCACTTGGGAGCCCTCTAGCTTGCAAGATCAATAGATTTCATTTCTTTTTTTCTTCCTAGTCTTCGTAGCAAAAAAAAGTGTGTTCTCCCTTCGACTTTTCTGAGCGAGTGGTGATTCCCTCACCATTGGATGTCCCACAACCCCTCACCCACCCTGTCCTGTTCATCTTCTTGAACAACTGGCAGCGCTGCACTGAGCCTGGCAGACACGAAACTGCCCACTTGTAAAAGAAGAAGTGAAAAGAACCCCAAAAAAGTCATGTTCCTTCACAAATCAAAGGTGATGAATGGCCCCCTTGCCAGAAACACACACGCTTCCCATGGACGGCGATGGAATGCACATGAAGGAAATACCATGCGTATCTCTCCAGGTGGAGACATCATTTTCACCCTCCACATGCATTTCCAGTTTGGCATTTCCGACAAATTGAATCTACTTTCTGGAGTCGCTAAAAAAACCTTTTTTCCTCCTCAAGCCGAGAGCTGCTAGAATCAGCTAGAGCATCTGGGGAGCTCTGAAAAAGGCTTTCAGAAGCATCAGGTAAGATGAGGCCAATTCTCAGCCCGTTAAGCGTCGTGTCTCCGTTGGCACCAGCAGGCTACGTCAGCTGACACGGGGTCTGGCACTAGAAATGCTCTTAACTTTACTTTTATGAGAGCTTGAGATGTACTTATGGCTCATAGCAGAGCTCTGTGCCGGTGCTGCCTTGCAGAAAAAAAATGATATGTTAGTTTAACATTATTAGTAAATCTTTAGCTCTGCTGCAGCAGCACTTTGTGGTTATTTAATACCTCCGGGGACAACTTCCTTAAAATAAAAGGCGAAGCACTGGGGCTGGAGGGAGCTGGATGTGACTCCCTGCTCTTCCACGATGAGACCTGGCCAGGCATCCATGGGCTCCACAGACCCTCAGGAGAAGAAGAGCAGTGCAACGGGGTTACGGACGTAGAGATGTTTTGTGTGGAGGTGTAGAAAGCCCTTCAAACATGACAAAACTTAAACGAAAAGTTTTCAGGATGGCCCAAGCCGTTCCAATTGGCAATAGCAGCGTCCCAACACTCCAGTGATGGCTGAGCAGTTCTTAAAAAAAAGGGGTCAGGGTTTGAGTCCTGAGGTGAAATATCTTTGGCTCACTTTTTACTGCTTTTAAACATCTTTGAGCATGCATTCTCTCACACAGGGAGTTATCTGACATGTAAATGGACCTGCTATGTAAAATACTGTATTCATTTTATCTCTTCTGCTATCAAAAGGCCCCTGGGACTATTTATCATATTTTTGCCTAGAGATAGAGAGTGTGAAAAAATTTTTAGTTCTAGAGCAGTCCCAGGTGCCTAGGATGGGCTTCATACACACAAAGATGTCAGGTCTGGACACAAAATCTGGTGTCCAAAAGCAGTCCTTAAGTCTTACCTGTTTCTAGGCTGTCTGTGGAGACGTAGCCAAGAAAAGTCATGAAAGGAGATGGACTGGGTGATATGGTCCGTGTTGCCAGTCACATCAAACCAGGAATGTCACATGTTCAGCCTGGCTTCTCCGGCACTCTCACCTTTAGTCTGACAAAAAAAACCAACCAAACAAATAAATAAAAGCTTCACCAAGGATTAATAAACCAACCTAAATCATGAGAGGGGAGAAAACTCTGGGTTGGTGGTGCGTGGCCCATGAGAATAAAAACACACCGAACCCTGCTGTCTCTCCTGACCAAATGCAGAATATCCCTCCTGCAAATCCTGTGGCAGAGCTGTCTCCTCGTCGGTGAAATCACACGCGTGTTCCCACAAGTGCCCTGGGACACAGTGCCAGCCTGCATGGAGCCCAAAATCCTCGGGACTCATCTGGGGACAGGCTTGTTCACAGGAAAAGTTGATGAGCCCCTGCTCCTCACCCTGTGAGAGTTTGATGTAGAAAATATGAAACAATGTGTAAACTATTTTTTACAAATATTTAAGCTATACAAAGGCATGATACTAAAAACATCTGAATTTGATGGATGGATGCAGAACTCTCTGGACTTCCTACATATATTCATTGCTCAAATCAGATTTTATAAATACATTTGTATCACAGCATTTGTTTGCCCTTTCTATAAAATGCTTTCATGATGACAACTGTATTGGTGCTGAAATTATTCCTTTCTTAACTTTCAGATCACAATAACCTTGTTTACCCTTTGAGTATTACCTATTATTATTTTTTCTTCCTATCGTAATGATATGCATTATTTCCCTGTTTCATTGTGTTTTTCATAGCAATGTCTCCTTGAGAGAAAGAGACACAATAATTAAAAGGACGGGATCTCTCTTGATGTTTCAAGTCTGTGATGTGTGAAATACCCAGAATTATTAAAGAGAAGTGTGGCAAGTTTGTAATGTCTTTGAAAGCATAGAGAAGAATCTTCATCTAGGTTTTTTTTTTTTTTTACTTCCAGACAGCATTTATGCAGGTTATCTAAAATTGTCTTATTTCTAACATATTCCCCCAGGGTACTTTAACTTTTCAGTTTGCTCTAACAGCCAGTGAATACACAGCATTGACAGAGAATCAACATGTAGATTAACACGCCACGGGCATGTTAATGTCCCCTCAGGAAAGAAGGAGAGCATCCAGCAAAGGTACCAGAGTCTCTCTGTAATAGCTTCCCGAGAAAGACTTAATGTCCCCTCAGGAAAGAAGGAGAGCATCCAGCAAAGGTACCAGAGTCTCTCTGTAATAGCTTCCTGAGGTGTGAAGAGCTGTAGGGACCATCACTTCTGGGACCACTGGCATGTGTTATTTGATATATATTCTGTGTGCATTTGGGTATCTCCATTGGACCAGTAACGCCTCAATGAAGCTATTCATTTTTCCAATGTGCTTGTGGAGTCTATTTGGGTATCTCCATTGGACCAGTAACGCCCCAATGAAGCTATTCATTTTTCCAATGTCCTTGTGGAGTCTTTTTTTCATTGTGACCCATGCTTTGGAGCCATTATATTGGAAAGAAATAGCAAGTTTTATGTTCTTTTTCTTAGCTTCCTAGCCTTATGGTCACAGCTGAAAATTGACAAGATAAGCTCTAAAGACATAAAAGGCACTTGGCAGGCAAAAAATTAACCCACATGCTGTTTTTAAAACAATCTCACAAGCCATTTTGTGGCAGAACTCTGGGATCATGTTATAGCTCTGGGAGCTCATTAAATTGTTCTGACTGGTGTGCATCTCTGTATTTAATGTGACATGTTTGGAATCACAAAACAGAAACCAAGCAGAGATGATGCTCCAGACCTTTTTAAAGAGATGTGTATGTGTTGCTAGGATAGATCAGGCACATCTAAAATATTAGACATGGCTTATGTTTGGCAAGAAAACATGAAACTTCCTGGGCCGTTCTGCCAAGCTTCTGGGCTCATATAAACCAATTTTCTGTAGCTACATCTGTTAGCAGTTCTGCCATGTCTTCCCTGCCTCTACCATATCCCCTTCAATCATGTCTTTAAGAGACACATGGAATGCCTAAAGAGGAAATGTGACTTTGTCTGATCTCAGATTTTGGGTCTTTTCATCCTCAGTTCATTAACAGATAAGGAAGAAGCTTGCAGCAACCCTGATTACTCCCTTTGCCAGCGATTGATCAGTCTTCTATGGTGTGTCCTTCTTGAGAGGACAAGTTGAAAGAGTAGAAAAGAATGATTCAGATTCCTAAATACAGGAACCTAATGCCATTTGAGAGGCCTTGGGATAACCAGCACATCCCCATGTGGTTGGTAACATGAGATTTATCAACCCCTTTTCTTCTGGAACAGCAGCTGCAGATGTACCACAGAACACCCCATAAACCTGTATTGAAGAAACTGAGCCTTGCCCGAAGGGACATATCAAATCTCGTGGTGTGGGCTACCATGAATCGAGGTACCTACTTACTCATCCCCACGAATCCAGGAAACCAAAGAACTTTGGAAGACAAAGAACTTTCTCCATAGCACTAAGCAAAGCCTTGATTACCCAGAGCCTTAGTTTGGTTTGAACAGCCATCACTGTGGTCAAGCACAGAGCCTTCACTTTGCTCATCTTACAGAGAATCCAGTTCTGTGGGTAGGCAAAAGAGTCCTCTTGAGGAAGTTATGGACTTGGCCTGGAACAACGTTAAGATGAAGCTTGCGCTCTCAGTCCCAGGGGTTCATCATGAGGTGGGAAGGATGCTGGCAGAGGTTCTTCCATATGGAAGCTTCTTGCCGACACGCTGCTGAGGGACTCAGCCTCAAACACTGCTCTCCCTCTGACGTACAGAGTCCAGCAGACGTGTCACTGTGGTTTCTGGATTGCACAGTGCAAAATACAGATGACAAGGAACACTAGTGGGAACTTCAACAGTTTTTAAAATCTGTTAGAGTTAGAAGAAAGACAAAGGAACATACGGAACTTCAACAGTTTTTAAAATCTGTTAGAAGAAAGACAAAGGAACATATAGGATCATTAACTAATGAAAATTAAAAGCTATGAGTATCTGGTGCGGCAAGAAGATCTTTGTGTCCATTATACTTCAACACAGAAGTAGCACTGCAGCCCAAAATAGGAAAAGACTTGGTTAAAGAATGTTTAGAGAAGTAATGACTGTCTGAGGAACAGCTGAAATTCTCCATCCTGCACATAGCAGTCAGATGAGGAGATCCCTAGGCAATTAGGGGTTACTTCTGCAAATTCCCTGTACCTGGGGAATTGAGGAAGGCCAGCAGAATAGTTCATCTTTCAGGAGAGAAAGAGGCATCCAGGAAACAGAAGTAATCTAAAACCCAGAAAGATAGAAGAGAAAATTATTAAACAATCTCTTTGTACTCACCTAGGCAATAATAAACTGATATAAACAGCCAGCATAGATTATTCAAGAACTGACTTTCTCAAACCATTTCTAATTTCATCCCTTGTAAGAATAATCAGCTGAGTGGATAAAGAAGAGGTAGCAGATGGGATATGTCTTGAAATTGCCTTTCATGACATTCTCTTAAGCAAAGAGGGAAATATGGCCCAGTGGCAGCTCTCATAAAACTTGTGGAAGACTTTATGTTGAGAATGGTACCAAGAGCTTTGGAGGACAGGAATAACAGAGGCTGGATTAGTTGGAAAAATAGTAGAAAACCGATGTAGACAACATCAGTAAATGTTAAGCATAAAGGAATTCAGGCCTATAGATGGAAACCTCCACTACTGCTCCGTTGAGCAGAGCAGGGAGGAGGGAAGAGGGACTGGGAAAAAAAAAGTAACATGAAAATGCACTCCTATGTGTTACGTACACACTCTTTCCTTGGCATAAAAAACCCCTAAAAATACAAATAAGAAAGCCTAATTATGTCAAAAGCCATTTTCCACTAAAAAATATCAACTAATTCTTCAAACAATTACCAATGCCTTGACTGGGGAGTTGTCCTGTGAGCTCTGCAGGGATCATTTCAATGTTAACCAAGGCAGACATAATTGCGTATCACTGGACTGCGACCCATTCTTAGCTTTTCTCTTGCAGGGAAGGTAAAAGCCATGAAATTTGGTAGTGCAGCAATGTAAACAACACTGGCAGCACAAGGCAGAATTGTTCTGCACTTGTCACTTGCAAACACGTACTCAGAAAAGTGTTATAATCAGGTTGTGCTTCAAGACAACACGTCTAGATATAAAAACCGGGAGCACATTTATAAGTTTCCAAGAAACCTACATTCTGGAGCCCAGGTTAAATGCACAGGCTCTGCCTGCTGTTTCACAGGCTCTGCGTCTGAATTCTAGAGTAAACTAAAAACTTGCTTTTGTCTTTCTTCCTTCAGGGCTTGTGCAGAGGTAATCAGACGGAAAATCATTTTCCCTGACTTTTTGCCAGTATTGCCTCAGTAAATACAATATATGGGCATCGGCCAGTGCCTCGCACTGTGCACGTGTCAATTTTAATAGATCCATAAATTATTTGCCTGTAATCACTGATTCGAGATACATTCAACAGAAGATATTTGATGTAGAAGAGCCGCTGGGTCTACAGCTGTCCACTAACTCGTTAAGGACTATTTAAAAATTACTATTTAAGAAATCTCAACTGAGATTCAGGACAATATGGGAGATTTGTCCATCGAATTTTAGGTGACACAAAAAGGAGGTGTGTGTTCTGTGACGCATTTGTGAACAAGACTCTATGTTGCTTCCCTACCCTGTTGGCTCCTACCATGGGCCTCACATACCTTGGGCATGAGTGTTCACTCTTTCCCACTGGTGTTGCTCAAGGGAGCTCTTTGTACTCCACTATATGAAGAAGCTGTTGATGGTAGACCTGTCATTCAGGAAGAAAATTTTCCTGGCTAGAGTTGACTCACCCAGGGTCCCTTTGCAGATCATGGAGACAGGCAGACAGGCAGACTCTTCTGGAGGTTGACTACCTCCACTTTCCACAGCTGGGTCTCCTAGAATGGAGGAAATCACTCCACGGAGGTGCTGATGATTCCAGCGCAGTTATAAAGAGGACAACACATTTTTGGCTGGATCACGCTCTGGATTAAGGGGCTCTGGCAAAGCAGGATGACTTCTTTCTTCAGGGACTCTGCCCAAGATATGACTGATTAATTGTGCCTACACGTAATGTCCCCAAAATGGAGCAAGAAAACCACAAAATCCTAGGAAGGCCCTGACCTTCCTAGGCAGAAAGTCCACTTTCCAGCTCAATCTACATAGCCAATTGTCACACTACAAGCTGGGGTCCTGGAGCTCCATGTTACAAGCAGTATTGTCCTTGGTTCCCCTGCTGCTTCCCCATAGTAATATCTTTTAGGTTGTTAATCTCAATGCATCCATCACAACAGACATGTCTTTGGAGGGCTGCTCCAACGTAAGATAGCCAACAACTTGATCCCTTGCAAA